CTCACCGACAAATATATCGACATGAGATTCCGTAGTACCATGTAATAAATTTAATGATATACAACTGATGCATCAACGTGATAGAGCTTGTGTCAATGTGATACAATACTTTCTTAGATTTACACGAATATTTGACATTTTAAAATAATTAATCTATCTATTATCGCTGATTTGTTTTGATTTTTGTTTCCGAAAGTTTCGAATGTTTTACAGCAATCCTGGTCATGGGAGAGACTAAGGTTATAGACGTCTCAAAGATTATAAAATTGTTACAGACAGCACACACCCAAAAAATATGATAGCTTACGTGTTAACGTGATAGAGTCCTGCACTATCTTCTGCGGTGTTAGTGGGGGGTTTCATTTTTATGGGCTGATTTTGTATATCGATCGGCATGTCCTCATTTCTAGCTCATATAAGAAATCACCATCCAGTACGGACGTGTTTTAATCATTAAAATATAATAAACTAATAATAAATAATAAACTAGTAAGCCCGTAGTAAATAACGGATGCTTTGGGAAGTGTATATGTTACTATATGTTATGACAGTGGTAGCTCAGTAGTAACGCGCTCCTTAGGAAAACCGAGTGAAGAGGGTTCAAATCCCGGGGGATCTCCAATATTTTCATGTGCAAATCATTTCTAGCACACTTGCCTTACGGTGAAGGAAAACATCGCGAGGAAACCTGCATTTCTGAGAGAACCTAGCAAGTTTTTGAAAGACATGTGAATTCCGCCAATCCGCACTTGGCCAGCATGGTGGACTATGGCCTGATCCCCGTCGTATTGAAGGAAGGCCCACCCCCAGCAGTGGGCCCTTAAAAAGTTCAGAAAACATATTATGTTACTTATAACCTAACATGCAAACAAACATACAATAATAATATTAGTGAGAATTTATAATCGGCCTTACTTGTTCTGGATGGGAATCCAAAAATCTTTGTAAGATTCAATATTTGTTTCCATTACGCTCATATATATTATATCTACCGTCTCTACTATTGGTTTGGAATAAAAACACCGTAGAAAAGCTCGCCAAGGAAATTAGTCAATTTTATAGACTCGTAAAATTAAAAATTTTAGGTACATCATTTTAAACTAACGCAATATTTTAATACAAAATATTTTGCAACGTTCAAGACTTGGTTAAATGATGATATAATTATTTTACTGATTTTGCCTTACTTATAAAGGTCAAACTAATGTAGAACAAGTTATTGCAAATAGTTTGAAATTATTAATTGCTTTTAATAAGATATCGAGATGTAATGTTATAATGCCTGGGGATCTAAATGGGATGTTTTATATTATATTACTCCACCTATAAATTGTACTACACTAGCAAATCAAATGTTTATACATCACTATAATAACTAAATAATAATTTTATTATTGCTATATATTTATTAATTTTGCAATTTTTACTGTCCCACAACTGGGCAAAATTCCTCTTCAATGCGAGAGAAATCCGTCCATTACCCTTGTTAAATATATATTATTACTAGCGACTCACCCTCGCTTCGCTTGGGTTTGTCCCTAGCTTGATTTCCCATACAAACTTTCATCCCCATTTTCACCCCTTAAAGAATGATTTCCGGGACAAAAAGTATCCTATATCCTTCCCAGGATCTCAAACTACCTTCATACCAAATTTCATCTAAATCGGTTCTGTAGGTCCAGAGATTACCCCCTACAACGTCACAAACTCACAAACTTTACCTCCTTATAATATTAGTAACGTAAAAAAAATAACTACATTCTGTATGATATGGTTTTGTTTTTATACTTTTTCTTACAGCTTAGCATGCCTTCAGCTTTCTAAGTTTTGGCTGTTACCAAAATTGAATTTGTCAGAGAATCTTAATATAATTCAAAATTCAAAATATTTTATTCAGCACTAAATTATTACAATTTTTACTGAAGGTCATGAGTCTACTGCCAGTTCGGAAAGAAGAAGCCTCAGAGCTGAGAAGAACTGGAGAAAGAAATTCAGCGGGACAAATATACATATACATACACACACAAGTTGGTTTGGTCCAGCACTCGAACCCAGGACCTGCAGATCTGCCGTACATTCTAGCTACAGATGAACAAAGTTAAAGATTAAAGTACAGAGTAACTTCAAATACCTCGAACTATCTACTTAATATTACATAGTCAAGAGAGGTCAATTATAGCTTAAGTAATTACAAGCTTTTGCCTGAGGCTTCACGCGCCATAACTCAAAGTTCACTGTGATAATATCTCATCATAAAAAAATTATGATTAAGTATTTTTTAATCATTCAATTTGTAGTTTATTTGAGGTCAAAATGGGCTTGGCTAAAAAAAAAACTAAGTTAGAGGTCGCGATTTTAATTTCCCTACAGACATATTTTGCCACATATTTTTCAGATCTGTTGATAAAAAAGTTATCCACTAAAGTTTAAAAAAAATGTAATATTTATTATTATAGCAGCATTATTAACAGCTAACATTAAATAAATAATATTGCTTTATTTAATTATAATAATTATAATTTTATTTTAAATGTTTTGAAATAAAAATCAACAAATATTGTAAGGTACTTTGGTGTCATTTTTGAATTTTCGAAATCGTTTTTATAAAATAGTGGGTAGGGACTGTCTGTAACAAGTGTATAACGCCTTTGAGACGTCTATAACCTTAATCTCTCCCGTGACCATAATTGCTGTAAAGCATTTGAAACGTCGGAAACCAAAAATCAAAATAAATCCGCGAAATAATCCGAAAAGATAGTTTTATTTAAAATGTCAAATATTCGCGTAAATCTAAGAAAGTATTAAGTAAACTTCATTAAAATCGGCTTAGCCATTCCACTACAAGTAAATGCAACTGCATTACAAACTTACTAATTCTATTCTATGTATAGAGATGTATAGATGTATTAAGTAATGTTAATATCTTAAGTTTAACAAGTAATAGATAAAAATCAGTTCGCTCATTGTTAGATTGACGTTGATATACAAATTTCGTTATGATTGCAAATTGATGCACGCATTTCGAATTTTCTGAGTGGGTTTCGGCTATTGGGTGTTACTAAATCTATATTTCAAAATGGCGTACCTCTTCGATTATTTATTAAACGTTAAGTTAATGGACAATATATGATAGAACTTTGATTTAAAATAGTTTTGAATCGACAAATATTTCATTTTAATAGCAATATTGCCTTTCTAGATAAGATTAAAAATATTTCTGTAGATGAGATTTAGTAAATCGATATCAAGAATTTGAACAACTAAGCTAAAAAATAATTTAGTATAATTACCTAATATGTAAAAAAATATTTGTATAAATTTACAATATTTACTTCTATAAATTATACTATAGTGAACATAATAACCTAAATTTTCCCTCTTACCTTCGTTCCCGGTTTAACTTTCTTCCCACTCCATCGCGTTCCAGGCGGCCCTGCATCACATCGATGCTTGATATACCAAGAAGCAACACCATTTTTTTCCAAAATCATTCTCGGTACACGCTGCAGTGCTATGGAACAGACTTCCCAAAGTCCTACAAGAGAGCCTTTCTAATGATGCGTTTAAAATCAATATGAAAAAGCATTAGCTTATATTATATATTCTTTATTGTACTGTATTATACTGATTATCATGGGGTTTGGGATTTATTTTATTATCGTCAGCCTATTGGCTACTGCTAAATGCAGAATTTCTCCAAAAAGCACCACATCCCAGTCCTCACCAGCATCCACCTGGTATCTGCAAGCTTTCTCGAGTCATTATCCATCGTGTTACAGAACACTATTATACTACGCGTGTTAAACGTGGCCTTGACTCTAACAAGTGTTCGCTCCATCGACCATCCGTGCGTTTGGAGATATTTATATCTTGAATCTGCCGAAAAGAGCCATTGGGATTTTCGATAGGAAAATACAATTTCAAAGTTATTTATTAGTTTCTATACTTTCATTTAAAAAAAGGTTAAGATATTTTTTTTATCTAAATAAGAAAACACTAATTCCCGATTTCACCAACATCCCATAAACTACCACCTACGTAGGGGATCCCTAGCTTAAAAGTTCCCCTAAAGTACCTATTTAGGTGGCATTTTAACATTTAGGTGACCCCTAACTGTCGGTGAAACAGAAACTGTCCCCTAACAGCCCCCTAACCATGCTTAGGGGATCCCTTAAACTTAGGTGACGTTGGTGAAATCAGCCATAAATGTTTTAACTCTATGATATTCTAGCGACTTACGCCCACTCATCGTCCCTAGATACCTAATGGCAGGTTATGTGTTACTTCATATGGTAATAGTGTACCTGTGTACTAAATTTTATCCAAATCTGTCCAGCCCTTTTAGCGTGCAGTTGTAATTAAATTGGACTTACCTATATTATTTCCGATTTGATTAAGTTATAGTGATTCTATTATATGATTAAACTAGCGACTCTACCTATCTTCGCTTGGGTTCACCCCTAGCTTGCTTCCCAATACAAACTTTCATCCCCATTTTCACCCCCTCAAGGGATGATTTGCGCGATATAAAAGTATCCTATGTCCATCCCATATCTCAAACTATTTTCTTACCAAATTTCATCTAAATCGGTAGATCCAGAGATTACCCCCTATAACCTCACAAACTCACAAATTCACAAACTTTACCTCTTTATAATATTAGTATAGATAAATATAAATTATTGTCACTAAAATCGAAATTCAATAGTTATTGTCACTTAACCTAGTGGATATTATTATAGTATTAAAATGGCATTACCCACCTTATTACTTTGCAAATGAAACTTTAAGTTAAACAGTAAATAAGTGCCTTTAAACTATATAAAAAAGGTACAAAAACATTTTTCTAAGGATTGTAACATAATATCTTCATTGGTTATTTTAAGATATGTACTAAATATTACTAGTGTATAAATAATGGTTAAAATTCAATCATAATCGTTATTGAAAATTTGAGGAAAACATACATACATATATGAATAAAATTTACCTCTCTATATATGTATATAAAAATTCCTAAAGAGATTTCCTTCCATAAGGCCTATAATAAACTACAATTTAAAGATGGCAATCAATCAGAGAGACCAAAAAGTAATAAAACGCTGGCATCCTCCGGATTAACCAAATGCACCGGTATCCCACACCAAGAAGACCTAGCAGCACAGGAAGACAAAAAGACCAATCGGGAAACTGCTATTCTGGATCATACCAAGATAATCCGAGAGTGCAGAGAGATGAAGTATCCTACATCAAAAATGTGGCATCCTACACCAAAAATGGTAGCATTTCACAAAAAGAACACGTCAGAGCGCATCACTAACTGTAGCAGAACACTCTCAAAGCTCCGAAAACTTGCCATGAGGGATCATCTAGCCTGAATCATCTCAAACTTGACGCGAGTTACCATTCAAATTAAAAATTACAAAACTCTTAAAACAAAAAAGAACTCAACTTAAACCACTACACTACAAAATCAACAAAACAAGAATAAACTTGTGTAAGTAACGCCTATATTAAGTAATATAGGCAACTATTTTTTTGAATCAGTCACGAACAAACGATGAGGTAATAAATTAATCCATATTATTATGTATTGTTTAAAATGTTGTATGCAATAATTTACTTTTTAAAGTAGCTAAATTTTTCGATACTGTAGAAAATATATTCACTGCACTGAATATTCATGAATACCAGCTTTTATGTTGATCAGTTTAATGATGTTTCTACATCAGCTAATGTCCTGCAGCGACATATAGTGGCGAGTAACATCGAAATAAATAGCATACGTATTAGATTATATACAAACATTTTTGTAAAAAAATAGAACTTACTTTTAATTAAGGTATATATATATATATATATACCTTAATTAAAAGTAAGTTAAGTTTTAAAATCTTTAGAAACCTTATATATATATATATATATATATATATATATATATATATATATATATAAGGTTTCTAAAGGATTACCCCCTTTTTAGGTTAATAATCTCATTTTATCGACCAATCTCCTTCGTGTCTTTTCCATTCTACGCGACATTGGCGAAGTAATCTGTGCACACTTGACACTTTTTGAAGCCAATTAACAAGATAATTGAATTGAAACCTGGTTTATATAAAAATACTTATATGTGTACAAACAAACCAATGGACCAAAAATAAAAGATGTAGCGGATTTTGAACAAACAAACATTTATATTTCTGTTTATATAGAATAGTGAGATACCCTTGTTTTACTCATCCGAGTAAGCGTTCTAGGTTTTTAACAGTAGCCTATATGTTACTCCAGGTTAAAGTCTATCTGTGGCCTTTTATCCTAATTAGTCCAGCCGTTACAGCATGAAGGAGTACCAAACAAACATACACATAAACTTACATTTATAATGGCAGTGTAATTAATTAATTTGTATAAAGGGTCACGAAGTAAGCGTAGGTAGCGACTAGTATTTAGTCTATTCATAAGTCATTCTTGACATTTCAAGTGAATTTTCAATGACAGATACGTCATATCAAATATTTCTAGTAAGTTCAGTTCCGTGGGATCATTTCACGAATTATGGATGACATTTTATCAAATGGTATTAACATTTTTGTGGACCGTACTTGTCCGAGTGTGTATTTTTACCATTTTTTTTTAAAACAAGGTACTGTTTTCAAGTATATTTATATTTATGTAGGTTTGTGTATTTGCCACATCATAGCCCGACAAGTTGGTTTTTAATACAATATAACTTTTCATACGATTCGAATTAATTTAGTATGAAATCTCAATTCTTGAATCAAAAACGAGAGTGTGTATGTTTTTTAACAAGAGCGATCAAATAAAATGAAGTAAATAATTTACAAATTTACTACTTATAAGCAAATTATTATAGTACGTTTTCTATATCACTGGTTTGATTCCTGACGAAGCAAGACCAGCTAACACTGGCGTTGCTATGGCAATGCAACAAATGCGGGCCACTGATTCAAGGCGGCCTCAGTGGGTCATAAACGATTCTTGTTTTTCAAAACATTTTTTGAAGACGGCCCTCATAGAAGTTAAAAAAACCGCAACAAAAAGTGTCCTAAAGTTCCGCATTTTATTTTGTAATAAGGATAGGTTAGGTTAGGTTTTTTATTTTTGTTTTGTTTAGTTTGTTATTTTTTTCCTTTTTTTTTTATTTCATAATAGAGTTTTTTTTTGCATTGGGGCCCAAAAAGGCTAGTTACGTCATTGAACTATCTAGAATATTTCGACACTGACAGTGGATGAGAAATCATCAAATCAAAGCTATATAATGAACATCTGCTTTACTGAGCCATTAAATTTTCAGTTTATTATAAATTAATTTTAAACTTGCATAAAATTAAGAGTGATCTTTGACATTCAAAATTAGAAGTAACATACAAAGTAATATGTAAATGAAGACTATTTCATTTGGTTAATTGTTACTGCTCTTTACCAACCACCACCAGTTCAAAGTTAAGTTGCTTTTGAGTGCAGGTTTGATTTCCGCACTAGGTAAATATTTGTGTTATTCATGTTATAGATTTATACCTATGCCAGTTTCCACTAGAAGGATTGTGAAGATCATAAAAATCCGTCTGAAATGTATGAAGATCTTTTGGATATACTACATAAATTTTGTATCCTAAATATGCAAATCTTCTGGGCAAAGCCTCTTTTCTATACGAAGACCATAGTTCACCACGCTGGCCAAATCCGGGCCCAAAGTCCCGGCGGGTAGGCGGACTTTACATGTCTTTTACCAACAATTACGTTCTCTAAAACATGCAGTTTCCTCACGTTATTTCCTTCACCGTTTTAGCAAGTGGTTAAACGTTAAAAATCATTTCCGTAATGATAAAAATAACGGGTTTTACGCAAATCTAACCACAGAAAAGCACTAGTTTCTCACATTTAAATAGATCCTTTAGTGAAATACTTACTTGATGATGCCTTTCGCTCTCATTTTGCTAGGTAAAGGTTATCCAATGAGTGGAGGCAATTAAAATAATTAATGCAGAAGGAGCGTCGTGTGAAGTATACATACTCGTACAAGCATTACGCCTTATTAAGATGCTTTATAAAGATTTAATTATTGTGTCTTCAATATTTTTTATATGTTAACCTATTTTCAAAGAATAAATTATTTAGAATTTTAAAATAATTAGTATAATAGGCATTTTATCTATAGATATGTATATGGTATAGATACTAAGGCAGTGGTAGCCCAGTGGTAATGTGTAGCTCGCTTGCGAAACCGAGTGAAGCGGGTTCAAATCTCGCATTTCTGATATTTTCATGTGCGAATCATTTCCAAGATGATTATCACTTGTCTTAACGGTATAGTAAAACCTCGGGAGGAAACCTGCATGCTTAAGAAAAGCTAACAAGTTTTAAAAAGACATGTGATGTCCGCCAACCCGCACTAGACCAGCGTGGTGGACTATGGCCTGATTCGCTCATATTGAAGGAAGGCAGGTGACCAGCAGTGGGACGTTAAATTGGGCTGAGTTCTATTTCTTATTATGTGAATTCCTCATGGCAATAAAATGGTTTGATTCTATCGAGCTGATCTGATGGTAAGGTTACTGAAGAAGGTAGAAACAGTTCAGATTCGAATCTCGCACAGAACCATTTCACTCTTTCACTGCGGAGGAGATATTTATGTATAATACTTATAAAATAATATTATAAAATCATTTATTTACGTGAGATATTTTATTAAAGTAAGATATTTACGTACTCGTAAGTACTAATTACGAGTATATACTCGTAGTTTACATTTCCATTTGCGTAGTATGAAGAATAAAAACAACGCATGTTACTCTCATGCGAATCTTTAATACGCTAGGGAAACCTCCTTAAATCGTTTAAAGTTTTTTACAATTTATAACCTAGATGAATTCTTTTTCAGTCCCAAAATAAAAGCTCACTTAGCTCGAATGGGCTTCTAGTATCTAACGGTAGCCTATGTGCTACTCCAGGTCATAGTCTGTGTACTAAATATCAATCAAATCCGTCCAGCCTTTTCAATGTGAAAGAGTAAAACATACATACATACAAACTTTCACAACTATACTAATATAATTTTGTTTTTGTTTGTTTGTTCGTTTGTTTGTTTGTTTGTTTGTTTTTTATGTACCGACTAAGCTCCGAAACTACTGAAACGATTTAGATGAAATTTGGCAAGAACATAGTTTTTATCCCGGAAATTATCCTTTGAGCAAATGGGGATGAAAGTTTGTATGGGCAAGCAACCTAGCTTACGTATACCTCTTTAGTTTACGTACATATATAATATTAAGTCCGATATGTGTATAATATACATATATAATAATCCTATTAATATATTATTTTAAGTATTGTTATTAAATAATAAGTTAAAATAAACTCATAATATAATACTAGGCAACATTAAGATCGTATTACAAAGTTATATTTGTCCATTAGATTGGGAAACAAATTTCTCATTTATAATACGTGTGTGGAATTCAAGGATTATAATATTGATATATAGGTGCATTAAGGCTAGTTGAACGCTTAGGAAACGCGTAATTCTCGTAACCTTATAACCTTTTGTACAACTTTCCATCACTTTGTTGGATATAAAGAATTATAGAAGTGACATCGAGTAGTATAAGTATAAGTTTTAATCTATACATATAATAAAATTCTGAGTCGAATTTGTACATTCAATATTTTTTGGAAAATCTTATTGAAATAGTCATTATTATCGATACAGAAGCCAAATCTATAGTTTTTAGAATTTTTGCCTGTTTATCTGTCTGTCTGGGAACGCATCACGAGAAAACTACTGCATAGATATTGATGAAATTCGGTATGATGATAGCTGGTTATCCGGGTCAACATATAGGATACTTTTTACTGCGGGAAAATATCTCATCTTTGAGAAATCTTTACTAACCGTTAAAACGTTTCTAGGGACGAACCCGAGCGGAGTAGGGGTTAGTCGCTAGTATTATTATACATTATACGTCTTGTCATCGCACAGACACTAATTACAAAATTTGATGAACGCTTTTAGAGCAATAGGATTTAACTAGAAACTTTCACCATAAATATAACGTGTAGAAACACTTTTTGCAGCACCTAAAGATGATTGATGGCTTGAATGTTAAAAAAGGTTTTACATATAGCAAAATATTGTATTTTTAGGTTACCATTTTATATATCTGTTAGATTATTTATACGATATAGTTCTTATTTCAAACCTTATTCTTTCTTTTTCTAATCTTCTCATATCTACTGACAAACTCCGACCCAAAAAAAAATCTATCCATTTGAGGGCATATAATATATTACTTTGGAAATGTCATAAAAAAATCTGCACTTAATTCTAAATATCACTGATGCCACTTTCATT